TCACTCCCCATGCACGCCCTGCCCAGCAGTGCCCGGCTCCAGACAGAGCTATCCCCTGGCGGGCTGGGACATGGGGCTGGAGGGCCACGTGCCCTATTCTCACACTCTGGGGTGCCCCCAATTCACTACAGCAAGAGTAGAGGCTGGTGGGAGGCGTGCAGTTCCGCTTCTGGTTGGTGCTGCTGTGGGATGTTTCCTCAGACTGTGGTGCTCAAAGCTGGTGTCATACGCGTGGCCAAGCCTAAGGAGCTGATTTTTCGGGAGCTTTTGGCCTCCTCTCCCACCCTAGCCCCTGGGCAGCAGGTCAGAATGGCTTTGAGCCGGCGCAGGGATGTTCGCTTGGGACCTGGGAGCAGGTCCCAGTTGGAACAGTTTCGAGGGGCCTGGCAGCCAGGATTTTTTGAACAAAAAACCCCAAAAAACAAAAAACCACCGCACACAAAAAATGAGCCATAGCCCCTTTAAATCCAGGGAAGCCGCCGCGCTACTCCTCTGGGTCCTACACCCGCTCGAGCAACGTCGGCGATGATGTTGGCGCTCCCCTTGACGTGGATCACTTCCATGTCGTAGTCCTGTAGGAGCAGGCTCCACCGCAGCAGTTTGGTGTTGGTCCCTTTCATCTGGTGTAGCCAGGTCAGGGGGCAGTGGTCGGTGAACACCGTGAAACGCCGGCCAAACAGTACATGGGAAATCTTTGGTGAACTTAAGCACAAAAAGGATGCTTAAAAAAAGTGGAAACTTGGACAAATGATCAGGCAGGGGTTTAAATGTAAAGCTACAGAATGTGTGTGTTTGGTGGTGGTGGTGGGGTTATCAGGAAGGCAAAAATTCGATTGGAATTGCGACTGGCAAAGGATGTGAAGAATAACAAGAAAGGTTTTTACAGGCATGTTAACAAGAAGAAGCTGATCAGAGAAGGGTGTGGGGCCCCTACTGGATAAAGGAGGTAACTGATGATTACCCATGATGATGTGGGGTAAGTTGAAGTACTCAATGCTTTCTTTGCCTCTGTATTCATGGACAAGGTCGGCTCCTGGACTAATGCGTGAAGCAAGATGGGATGAAGATGGACAGCCCTTAGTGGATAAAGAAGAGGTTAGGAACTATTTAGAAAAGCTAAATGTACACAAATCCATGGGTCTGGACTTAGTGCATCCGAGGGTACTGAGGGAGTTGGAAAATGTCATTGAGGAGCCTTTGGCTATTATCTTTGAAAAGTGGTGGAGATCAGGAGAGATCCTGGCTAATTGGAAAAGGGCAAATGTAGTGCCCATCTTCAAAAAAGGGAAGAATGATGATCCAGGGAACTATAGTCTGGTCAGTCTTACCTCAATTCCTGGAAAAATCATGGAAGGGATCCTTAAGGAATCTATTTTGAGGCACTTGGAAGAGAGGAAAGTGATTAGGAATAGTCAGCATGGATTCACAAAGGGAAAGTC